TAACTAAGAACCTAATTAAGCACGTTTTACAAGAATATGTCGACTTTTGTTTGACTATCATATGTGATACTTTCTAAAAGTGGTGTATCTAATAGTTGTTAAGGGATAAAATCTCACATCAAATAAAGATGAAAACATAGACCAATTTTATAAGGGTTTGAGCTACTCCTCTTAATAAAATTGGCCTTTTAAGATGGAATCTCAAATCTTAACATAATATTAGAGCATATTAGGCTCCAACGAGCAATTTGATCCAATTAAGGCTAAAAAAAATTGAGCACACGGATTTCAAGATTGATCTGTTCAAACAAGTTACCATCTTGTGGGGGCATGTTAATGGATAAAATCTCATTTCGAATAAAGATAAAAAAATAGACCAATTTATAAGAGTTTATGTTACTCCTTTTAATAAAGTTGAAATTTTAAGATGAAACCTCAAATTTTAGCAATAGTAGAAAGTTTCTAATTTCTTTGTCCTTTTTCTTCATCTCCAAATAGAATGACGATTTTACTCTTGTTCGATTCAACTCTAGTGCAGATAATATAATATCTATGACTCCACTAAATGTGCAGCCAAATGAGACTGTTATTTCAACTACATATTCTATGAATTCTTTGTTTTGGACCCATTTGCCACCATAATATAAGGCGACGAGTTGTTTCCATACCTGCAAAAAACAAATAGTTCATTAGGCANNNCAAAAAACAAATAGTTCATTAGGCAACATGGATAACAAGTCACAATATTTCATAAAGAACATGCACTTTTAATTGAAGACGACATATCAAATATTTTGTCAATGAATGACACTTCAAACATTATGAAAAAACATAGAAAACATTTACGACGTTGAAAATAAATTGATGTAGTAACTATTCACAATATATAATACTTTAGACATTATGAACAGACATTGAAAGCATTCATCTGACATTAACATATTCATATCTCAATTTAGCGAAATCTATAATCAAATTATCAAAATAAAATATCAAATTAAGAAAATCAAAACTCAAGCTAGCAAAATATATACTCAAACGAGCAAAATCCAATATTAGATTACCAAAAGCGAAACTTGGATTAGCAACTAAAAGAAATATTTAGGGCTTGTCTGGGATTGGTTAAAAAATTGGATTAAAAGTCATTTTTTGACCGTTACATGATCCAACGGTAACTATTTCAAAGAAAACTGTAGAATCTGTGTCACATGTGTCAGAAGGTAACGGACAAGAAATCAATTTCTCATTTTTAAAATCTACACTAGACAGGTTCTTAAATTCGAAAAATATAAAACCACTAAGCAATTTCCTCCTCTTTCTCCAGCTTATTACCTTTACATACGTTTTATGACGTTGAGATTTTAAACTTATATTTGAGTTTTCAAAATTTTGAAACGGTAATTAACATTATTTTTAGGTTTTCAGTGACCCAAATTTAGGATAATTATGCGTTTATCCCAACAAAAAGATGGGCTTGAAGCCCAAATTTTCAACCAAGACCAACTTAATACATAAAAAGAAGACCCAATAAATTTGGGCTACAATAGCCAAATGGGCCCAAGGGTATACTAATATGATTTTGAGGAAATTACATGGATCCATGTATTTGAAAATTTCAATACAAAAATCAGGTGAGAAGTTTTTTTAATCAAATTTCAGGTATCTACAAATCTTAAATCATTTTCCTTCAATTTCTTTTCAAATCTCCACCCTTTCTCTCTACCCAAAGTCGACCATTTTTCTTCATATCTTCACACACTCTCTCTCTACCCACCTTCGACCAACGCTTACCTTCGACCACCGCCCACCGTTGAAGACCACCACCCAAATCAACAATCCATTGCCGGCGACGATCGAGGTAGAAGCGCATCAACTCAATCTGAAATTTTCTCTTTGTAGACCACCGCTTGGAGCACCTGTCGTCGGTGCTCACGTAATGAAGAGCCGGTGCTATTGTAATTAGGGCTGGGTAAAAAACCGCCCAACCCGCTCAACCCGCCCGACCCAACCCAAACCGATCGGGTTAATTCGATTTTTTTCATTTTTTTGGTTGGGTTCGGGTTTGGGATGTTGAAGGCGGGTCGGGTCGGGTCGGGTCGGGTTACGGGTTAAACCAAAAAACCCGACCC